TTTCTGTTTTTCACAGCCCAGTGACTTCCAGGAAAAAGCTTTCTTCGAGATTCAGGAGCTTCAGTGACGACACCATGAAGTAACACTGGGGTAAATCTGGAGCTTTTTAATAAAGTACTTTATTTTCCTTTCCTCCAAAGTTTGAGATGACTAAACTGCACAGAATGTGCGGTAGGTCCTAAATTGCATTGGTCTCAGTGCAATTGGTGTTCCCTTTTATTTACTTTTCCAAAATTTAAGAATATCAACTTTAAAACCTGTGGGCTTTTTAAGGGTGTGCTCCCTTCATATGGTAGCAGAGAGTCACAATGCCTCGATGCAAATAATTCAATATAAATATTGAATAAATGCTATGACTAACTCCCAGTTCAATGACAATTAGCACCTAAGCTTTCTTCCTAAACTTTCAGGGTTTGCTTAGATTCTCTCAGCTTCTTGGACCTTTGCCAGCATAGTTGACAACCAGGTATGTTATGTATGCAACTAAGATTGCATTTGTTGCTCTGATCAATTATCTCCTCATAGGAATTGATGGAAGCAATTGGACTATATTGATCCTGTTCTGTCTTCTAGCAGCACTGTTACAATTTACAAGATTATAGTGACATGAGACAGGATTGGTTATTTATGGGATTCCTAACTGCTTGCTGAATGATTCTAAAGGTTATAGTCAACTTTTTCTTATTAGCATTTCTGGATTCTTTTTAGAGAATACCATAGTGATTAAATATTATATGTATATTAATACTTAAGTAAGTAAAAATGGGTCAACTTGAAATCTAAGTTCTAGTATGGTTTCACAAGAGTTATGTGATTTGTTTCTAGTTGTGCCAACAAACTGTCTAGATCAGGGGTGCCAAACTCAAGTTGTCACGGTTGTGTCACATGACGTATTGGGACTTTTTCCCCCCTTCGCTAAACTGGGCGTGGGCATGGCCAGTGTATGATGCATCTGGCCTGCAGGCTGGGAGTTTGGCAGCCCTGGTCTAGATCATATGTTAGCAAAACTGTAGCCCTTAAAAATAGCTATTATTTAGATGATCTGCATAGTTCTATTCAGATGATTATTTTTCACACACACACACACACACTAATCTGAGTAGGACTGTGCAATTTTGTTTGAATCATACACACACGTGTGTGTATATGTAACAATCATCTGGATAGGATGATTCCTATTATATGATCTAGACAGTTTGTTGCCACAACTAGAAACAAATCACATAACTCTTGTGAAACCATATAAGAACTTAGATTTCAAGTTGAGCCATTTTTACTTACTTAGGTATTAATATACATTACATATATCTAACCACCATGATATTCTCTAACTATATAAGGATGTGTACAGGCTTGACACCAAGTGATTCTTGGTGACTTCAGGACTGCAGTGTAAGTTTCATTGACAGCAATAGAAAAGTAGTTTGTCTCTAAACTGGTAAAAAAATATGCTGGCACAAATTATATTGCTCTTATTGTTGAGTTCTATTTGGCCTCAGTAACAAGGCAAAAAATGGCCTTGTCCCTGACAAGATAAGGAAAGCAATCATGGTTTTTCTTGGATTAGTTTCCCTTTTTAAGGAGTATAACCTGCACAGGAAGAACAATCTACAGCTCAGTCACTCTCCCTTATGTGAACTGGGGTAGCCTGGCTTGGGCAGGTAGTGTTGTGGCCCGCCAGCGGCTGCGCGGATTGTTGCTGATCCCGACAACGAGGAGGCTGGTGTGGTGTCGCGCCAGCAGCCTGTGCAGCCGGCGCTCGAGTCAGACAGCGAGGAGGCTGAAGAAGATGTGGTGCCAGAGGCAGGGATTTAGCCAGGGCCTTCAGAACCTCCAGAGGCTCCTTTAAGTGCAGAGGATGAAGTGGAGGAGCCTCTTCTCAATGCACGAGCACGCAGAGCTGCCAAAAGGCAGGAGTGGTTCCTCAGGAGGAGGTCTCCTCTAGAGAAAGGCTTTGGGCTAATTGGCCACTCCCTTAGCCTATTTAAGAATGCACACAGCTTATAAAAAACTGCAGGAAACAACGTTCGTTCGTTCACTGATCATTGAGTTTGGATTTTCTCTGCAAACTTTGCTTCTGGGCTTTCTGCCAACTCTTGTAAGACTCTATCTTATCTGTGAAATTTCGGGCAGCTTGTTAAGAATGTTTTATTAACAGCCTGCATTGCAAAAGACTGCGTTTTGAAGTAAACTGAGTTTTGTTTGGAGTTTGTGTGTGCTGCGTTCTTTGGGATCCGTAGCTGGAGCAGAACAGGTACAGGTGAATGCTTAGAAAGTTGGGTTTAGCCATCTGTCACATTCACCCACTAATAATTGAAAGATATAAAAGCTACATAATCCTTCAGTCCAAATCAAAATAATTATGTGGGATAATGCTCAGGGAAGGGATGTGTCTGCAACAGCCTAAAAATCTGGGCAACTTTAGGCCCTGTATTATATCATAGTCATCTGGAGGTTTAGACTGGATTTGGTATTTTATTCAGCTATCAAGGACATGGGATAGGCAAATGCTGTCCCATGCATTTGCCTATCCCATATGCATTTGTTTAATGCTATTAAAGGTATTGTCACAGGATCTAAGCTGTTCAATAAGCTGCCTTTTGTAACTGTCTGGTGGGGATTTTGTTAATGCCAGTGGTGTTCAATTGGTTGTTCCAGATATTTTGCGATTGCAGCCAAGGCATCTATTATTATTGGTACTATCTTTGCCTTCATTTGCTATAGTCATTTTACTTCTTTTTGCATGTCTCTGTATTTTATTATTTCTCTCTCTCTTCTGCTGTCTCCAGATACTGCCACTTCAGGTACTAATCAGTCTTGTTTTTCTGATTAACAATTGTTAAATTTGCCTATTTGAATTTTAAAGTCCCAAAATACTTAACTTCTTCATTGTCTATTTTCTTTGTCTATTTTTGGTCCCACCAGTTCTTTCTTGCAGGCAAATACCGGTAGTATTTGTTGCAGATATTCCAATGCACCATCATTGCTAGTTTGTTATGCTGTTGTTTGATGTCAGTCTGTGCAATCTTCTTGCAGCAGCTAACCAGGTGGTCCACTGACTTCAGCTTTTTTGCAGAGACAGCATTTCCATCTGTTGCTATTACATGCATTTATTCTTAAGGCTTAGTCTCATGTAGCCCTCCTGTCACTTTCTTTAACTTTCTATTCTTAGTCATTTCCATTTCTTTGTTGTTATGTGCTTTTCCAGTATTATTTTTTTAATGTACTGACTGTGTAATATTTTGCCTTTCCATGTTACTTTTCCCGGAATTTCTTCTTTCTTAGTAGTATCAGAACTATATTTTTATCTCTTCTTTTAAATATATAACTCAAGGTTGCAAACATACTGCATACAGTACTCCTGCTTCATATTTTCCTCACAACAACCCTGTGAAGTGGGTTGGATTGAGAGAGAGAGAGAGAGTGGTGGGCCAAGCCACCCGGTCATTGTTAATTTCACCATTGATAAAGCATTCTAGGCCTAATCCAGAGCAGAAATTAAGTGAGGACAAACTTTAAAACTGTATCTGCTAAAGAAGCTTTTTAACTTCACATGCTTGTGATCTGGGGATGTGCTAAAGCCAAAACAATGAGGTCACGTCCCTTGGAAGGTCTACTGCACAGGTGTCAAACTTGCGGTGTCATGTTGCCATCATGTGACCTATTGCGACATTTCCCCCCTTTGCGGAGCTGGGGTGGCCGTGGCCTGTGCGTGACGCATCTGGCCTGTGGGCCACTAGTTTGACACCCCTGGCCTGAGACATGTTTGTGCTGCAGTTAAAAGGACATTAGTATGAACAATTCAGCTTGACAACTGCATACATATTCAAATAAAATGCACAGATTCCACATAGCAGCACCAAGAAACAGTAATGTCCATAATCTTGATGATACCAACAACAGTAACGTCAACATGCAAATACTATGGTTATGTTCTTGTATTGCTATATCAGAGACAAGGATTTAAATTTCAACATTTGCATGGTGGTGTCATTATGTAGTTATCATCACTGCCCCTCGCTGGGGTCCTTGCCCTCCCCATCCTCTGCAGATGCCCATGTTAAGAATTATTGGAAAATTTATTAATATGGGAACATAGTTACGGATCTAAGGCAGGAATAAACTCAAAGGATCCACATTTTAAGGCAGCATGGGAACTCTGACCAGGACAACTGCCCTATCACACAAGGAATGATAATGAACTGTAGTAATTACAAATAAAGCCACCTTGATCCGATATAGTATACCTATATATAGAAGAGTCATAATGTGCCCGGGGGAACAACAGGAGGTGGCCATCACGCCTTGCTGGCAATTCTTTAAAGCGTCACCATAAAAGGCACCCTGCACGAGTACTTGGCTGCATTATTAACGTACCCTACCGAAAAATTAAGGAAAGCTAACAATCGGAAGCGGAGGGGAAAGGGACAGGGGCGGGGGGGGCTGTACTACCGCGAGAGTTAACGTATGGCCACAACTGTGAATTAAAGCAAAGCAGCAAAGTGACACGTGGTACTTTCAAAAACTTTTGAGCAGGGATGGCGGGAGGGGAGGGGCTATGCTAAGAGTAGCAGTTATTGACAAAGCTCCAGGGGGCTTCGTTTAAAAAAAAAATTTTTTTTATGGGTTCAGGGGAAATCGCAGAACGCCAAATACCGGAACGCCTAAGACCGGAATTGCTACTTCCTCGGATCAACTCTCAGACTCGCTTCTACTTTCATTAACAATTAGAAAGAAAGGAGGCGGAGTCGCACTTTCGTTTGTAGGGAGAGAAACCTCCCAAGCTTTGCCCTAGAAGTTTATTACCACCCCCCCCCCAGCAAAAGTAACTCGTTCCCTCTCTTTAAGTCAGTTCTGTTGCAAAATCACGGGGGGGGGGAGGAGAAGAAGAAGTCGAGGGAAGGATGGAGAGTATTTCTGGTTTGTTCTCTCAATTTCTTTATCCTCCAACGTTGGTCAGCTGGAAGAATGAAGAGAAAGCAGGCTGTTAAATCTCAAGAGCTTAAATGTTTTAAAACAGAGCGTGTTGTCCAACTTTTCGATCTTCCGCTTTATTACATCAGCTGATGCATCGATTCTTTGCAATCTACATAATTTCCACCCGTCCCTCTTAGCGGAGAAGAGTTTTAAGGACGAGGCTCTCAACTGCAGGCACCACTTTTGAAGTCGCGGCGATATTTCTCTTCCTTTCAATGAAGCTTCTTCCCTTCCTCCCCCCCTCCCTTCTCCTTTCCCAAGAATCCTTGGCTAAATCGTTTGTAATTTTTTAAAAATCTCCCTTTCAGCCGCTTCGCTTTAGCACGCCTCCCTGTTTATTTTCCAGCTTTGAGAGTGGTTGTCTTCCTGTTCCCCACCACCGCCACCCTTTTTAATATTTTGCACGGTGCCAAGCTTGGGAGTTTTCGCATATTCGCCTCCCCTTTTCTGCAGCCTCCCTCCCCAGCCCCATCAGAGGAAATATTACAATGTTGCAAGCTGACGTAAGGACATTACAAGGAAAGGGCTACATTTCGGAGTGTTTATGAAAAGCTTCGGTACTGTACTGTCACCAGGGGGCATGCAATAGAATGCATTTCGTCCAACATTTGGGATAATGATCATTTAGAAAGCACTACGACCAAAACAAAAAGAAAAGCAAGAAAACGAAAAAAAAAGAGCGAGCGAGCGAGCTTCCAGCGAGCTTTGGAACCGGCGCCAGGCAGAGGAGCCATGCAGTCAAACTTTCGGGAAGCCTTGGTTATTTTTTCTGACATTGCAGCTCGCCCTTGAGGATCGCTTACTGAATTCTCCGGATTTTGTTTTGCTTCTTTTTTCACCCCCCCCTCCCTCCCTCCACCTCTCCCGCCGTCTCCAGGCCCGGTTGATTCGCTTTGCCCGTGGCGGCAAAGGAGGAGAGAATCGAGCGAGCTCCCCAACAGCGAGGAAGCCGCAGCAAAACGCCCTGCCTGCCTGCCTCTCTCCGCTGGCTGGCTGGCTGGCTGGCTGACTCTCCCGCACGGCTCGCTTGCCTTGGGATCCAGTGTTGTTTTGAAGGGAGCTAACATGGCGACGGTGCCCGTCTATTGCATCTGTAGGCTGCCCTACGACGTAACCCGCTTCATGATCGAGTGCGACGCCTGCAAGGACTGGTTTCACGGCAGGTAACACAAAGCGATCGGGCCTTCCTCTTCCCCCCCCCCTCCACCCTCCGCTCTAGGGCAGAGATCCCCCTTCCTATCGCTCGGGGCCTTTTCGTCTCTTTGGCTCGCCAGGGCAGCAGCGGCGAGAGCGAGCGGGAGAGAGAGAGAGATGGTGGGCTCCTGGCTGCTGCTTCTGCTCTGTGCAGTTTTCCAACAGGCCTTTTTGGAGAAGAGGAGGAGGAGGAGGAGCCACTCTCTCGTTTCCCTCTCTTGTATTTTTTTGTGTGCGTGTGTGGTTTTGTTTTTGTTTCGTAAATTGTCGAGCCCGGGCATACACAATGGACTCTCCCCCCCCCCTTCCTCCCGGGGCTCTGGTGTCAAGGGGCTGCGGGTAGCGGTGGTGGCGGAGAGAGCTATTGTCCTTTACTCGGGGAGGGACGGCGGGCGGGCGGGTGGACTGGCTGACTGACTGACTTGCTTGTGCTAAAGGGTGTTTCTCCCTTTTTTTTTTTTTTGTGGAAATTATTATTTTATTAGCTCCCGGTTTCTGGCCCGCTGCCTCTCCGCCCCTCCCCCGATCGGGGTCTTATTGACTGGATCTTATGGGGAGGGAGGGTTAAGAATTTAAGGTTAGATGCTTCCCCCCCCCTCACTTTCTCCAGAGAAGGCATGGAGAGAGCAGAACCGGAGGCAGGGAGGGGAGGGGGGGGAAGGTTGAGGAAAGCGGTTCCACAATGTCTGGCTAAGAGAGAAAAGCCAGCGAGTCAGTCCCGGGAAGGATCCCTACGGAGCAAGCGGGAATCGCAGGGACCGGGGCAGCGGAGGCGGCTCTTGGGGAGCCCGCGCTTCGGGCGGTCACTTGCTTCGCGCCTCCTAAGGGGAGAGGGCGACTGAGGGGGGGGGTGTTTCCTCGCCTGCTGGGCGCCGCGATTTGGCTGAGGAGTGCGCGGGCCCCGAATGGCAGCTCGGAGCGAGGGAGCGGAGAGTGAGGGCTTTCCCTAGAGCCGCGGCCACAGAGGACATTCCTCGCTTCGCAGGCTGCCGAAGCCCGGCCGCTAACGCCGCTTCGCCTCGGCTGGATTCTGGTATGGAGCGAGCCAGTCCACTCCTCCAAATAGCGGAACCAGAGTCTCCGGCCAGACTCACCCCGAAAGGTGGGCGGAGGAGAGCGCAAGAAAGGCGAGACCCCTTTTTTTGGTCTTCCTGAGGTAGCGCTGTTTTGTGGAAGCCACCCCCCACCCCCACCCACGGTTGCCACGTCCGCCTCTTGACACTTTCCCGGTGGCCCCCTTTTTTTTGTTTCTGTTCCCGAAATGAGATACAAGGGATGGTGGTGTGGATTCTTTGACCCTGTCCGAGGAGACAGCTGAGGAGCTTAATTCCCTGACGCTCCCTGGTCAAAGCTCGGGCTGCCCGTCTCCTGGGCGGCAGACTGTTTTAATTCGCCTTGTCCACCGTCAGCAGCGGAATCTGAGACAATGTACGCGGCGGGGGCTTGGAAACTCCCTCGGCCACCCGCTCGTCTCCTTGCTTTTGATGAGTATTTGATTTGTGCAGGAGAGGTCCCCGCCTCCCCCCTCGCCGCCCGCGTCTTTGTCAGGCTTTCTTGGGTGCTTTAATTATCACTTCACCTCGCCCGCGTCTGCCTTGTTTGCAGGGACTCTCTGGATATGATCTGACTGATCAACCTGATCTTTGTGCCTCGCGGTGGCGGGGTTGCGTTGCATGCGGAAGGCAGACGCGTCGCTCATTTTAAAAATAAATAAATATGGAACTGCAGGAAGAAGGGGAAGGGACTTCATTCGGCTGGATTTCCTAGGAGTTCGGTCTTAGGTCTTGCGGAAATTAAGGCACCTCTGATGGAAGCCGGTGACACTGAAACGATTCGGATCTGATGCCTCTAGGTCCGGGCAGCCGAAATTTAAAGCTCCCGTGTGAGGCTCTTCCGATGCCAGTCGGCAGGAGTTTAAAAGACTTCGGTGTTTTGTTTCGAGTGTGGTTTAGGGCTTTAGCCGCGCATGGACGATGGCGTGTCTCCGATGGATAATCTTCCTATGATTCGCCGCTGAGCTTCATTACAAACTTGCACAGGATCTCTCGCCTTTCTTGACAGTAGCGGTCAAGGGATCAAAAGCAGGTTGACCTTCGGGAAACTCAATTTCGAAGGCAAGGATGATTGCCTCCGCGCGGAGGAATAGATAAGGTAGCTTTAATTAACTAATGAGGATGATAGGGTCTCTTTGGTTATGTTGGATGCTTTTTCAGTAGTTTTGTTTACTTTGGAATTTTGCCCATTGGTCTGGGCATTATAAAAAATAAGTAAGTCACTGTCAGCCTAAAACTGGGAAAATTTGGTATAATCTGATTGGTGGTTATAATTCATTGTGTCTGATGCACAGAATAAAGTTATACTTTATCCCTTCAAAATCATCCAGCTTTAAACAATTGTGACAATAAGTACTTGTATACAATCCATAACACTGTCTTGATCTCTTTGGGGGAAGAGGATGGTACATTCTATCACACACACACCATGAGTTGCTAAAGAAAATTGTTTTTAAAAAAATCTCCCAAAAGACTAAAGGACATTTCAGTACTTGATGCTGAAATAGTAAATAATTTTGTATACTATAAAAAACTTTCTTCAAATAAGATTGGTAATACCTCAGTCCAATCCATTAATTTCAGTAGACTAAGACACTATTATTTCTGCTTTGAACCAAACTGCTTAAAATTAGCCTGAGTTCACGAAGGGGGGAGAGAGAGAGAGAGACATAGGAGAGAGCACAAGCAGATCTTGTCTTGAAATCTTTAGTTCCACTTATGTAAGTATCTGCACAACTATCTATAATTCAAAGTGAATGCTGTGATTAAAAATAGGGTATTGTTAGCCTAGCATATATTTTTTTCCTTTTAAAAAATTAAATGGATTTCACTATAATTTTCCTCTGTGCCATCCATGCATTCAATTTGACAACTATTAAAAATACAATTACATTTTTAAGAAAATAGTTCTGTATTTAATACTAATAATAATACTAATAAACCTTTTGCCTCTGTTTAGTTACAACTGAGCTCTATAGAGAAATACAATAAAGATGAGTGGCTATTTAGGAATACTCACACAATTGTAAATGGAAAGCCTTAAACAATGAAGCAAGGCTTATGTTCGCTTCTTACTATGTACGTAGTCCATGATGCAATATGTGAATGCTGTATATTTTTCAGTTCTAAGGATTAAAAGTTGAATAATTCACCTAGAAAATTTAAGTGTATTTATTTACATTACATTACTTATATCTGATTTTACGGTAGGGGGGAGAGAGTAGATTCATTATATTGTAAGTCTCACTACCTATTAGTTACCTTTTGCAATAAAAAACAGCTATTAAAACAAAAAGATGTGAAGAATGCACCTAAACAAGACTTTTGTGAAATAATTTTGCTGAGTAATTGAAAACTGGGTAGAATTCAGAACAAACATACAAAAACACACATATAATATTGTGTAATGACAACATTGTGTTGCCATTATCATTTAAAAGAGGATGATACCCACATACACAGGAAGGGGAAAGTTCAAAAGAGAAAACAAGAAAAGTATTGCAATAAAGTTTTCCTCCAGAAAATAGGATGATTTTCATTAGCTGAAATTTCATTATATACAAAATCACTAGCTAATTGGTATATGATCAATTTAACTGAAAAATGAAAAACTTATTTGGAAGGTCCCTTAATGATACATTTTTAAAATGTGCTACAGGTAAATCCAGCATTATGTTTATATTAATTATGAAAGTATTGTTTTTTGTATGTATGGTATTTATGAACTTTTTGGCGGAAGATTGATGTTCCCAAAAAATATGGACTGGAAGTTTAAATCCAACTCATCTGTGAGCTACAAGTTGGAGGAGACTGATCTACGTCTTGCATTGTATCTAATTTTTCAGTTTTGTTGACTATGGTCATAAGATGATATTTTAAAAGATTTGAAGTGTGATACCTTCAGTTCTAAAATAAATGCAGATACATGTTTAGACCAGAGGCCTTCAAACTTGGCAGCTTTAAGACTTGTGGACTTCAACTCCCAGAATTCTCCAGCAGCTGACTGGAGAATTCTGGGAGTTGAAGTCCACAAATCTTAAAGCTGCCAAGTTTGAAGGCCTCTGGTTTAGACCATTAAATTTGAATGGATTTCACCAGAATACTAGACCAATAATTATGCCACTTTGGGAACTGTGATCAGTTCTCAACATATCTGGAGACTACTAAGCTATATTTTAAATTAATTATGGTTGTTTTCATACCTCTCACTAATGGTTTCTTAAGTTTTGGTTTAGCAAGATGTGTATAGATTTAGCTACTGTACATATAGCTTGATTCTACCTTTGTGTATTCATACTCAATAGAAAGTATTTTCAGTTGAAGTGTATAGGATTGTACCCTTAAGCATAAATAAATCTTATCACTTCAGGTGTGAATCTGGTTTTAAAAATAAGAGAATATAGCACAATGGTGTAATCATTAATGATGTAATCATTAATTATATTCTTTATATAATGTCAAATTATTTGTTCCTTAGTCTAGATAGGTAACCTATTTGTTACCTATCTAGATGGCAGGTAGTTCAACTATACAAAATAGGAGGAGGCAGTCCCATTAAGGAATCACTTTGGAATTGCAGGTGTCATTGGAAATTGTGGTTTGGGCACTTTTATCAGCTTTAGCTAATACCACCAATTGTGAGCTTATTTGGGCATATACCTAATTATAACTGCTGATATTTAAGCATCTTTTGTCTGGATAATTGCAATCTATTAACTATGTGGTGGCCTTTGGCCCTGTATAATAATTTCAGTCAGTCCAAGTTAGGATAGTGAGATTATTGCTTTCAGTCTGAGATGAATTCTTCAGTTATATTTCGCAAATCTTTTATAGTCTTCACTGTTTTAAGTGTTAAAACTATGGAAGATAAAATGCTGCCCTTGGAGGTTGTTTAATTTCCAATGCATGTTGAGATG